AAAGATATTTAAACAGACACTGAGATTTAAATTTCAATTTTTTTTTTTTTTTTTTTTTTTTGATATCTCAGACTTCATCTTCACGTTAAAAATGGAAGAGAAAATTTGAATAGCAGAGAGTAAAAGAAAGAGATTGTCAGAAACATTGCCTGAGGATACAAAGTAGTATGATGGCTACCAGTAAATGGTAGTAGTATGATCAAGAACGTTTAATCTTTCTTCTACGTGGTAGTTAACATAAATTTTCTGAACTGCACTCGCTTCCTCCAATTAATAAACGTAAAAGGGGGTCATTTTTATCATCACTGTTTAATACCTCTTTTCTTCTTGCTAGTAAGACAACTTCCGCGCGGATCAATTATATTATGAAATAAATATACCTATACATATATTTATTATTGAATCTGTATCTTATTGATAAAATAAAAAATATAAATATAAATAAAAAGCTTTCAATAAAAATTGCAATTCCAGTCATAGATACTCTGTTTTGTTTCCTAAATATCGTAAAATAAAATTTAAATACCTATCCTTAAAATTATATAAATTAATAAATTAATAATATTTATTTTGAATAATAAATATATATAAGCTCGTTGAAAAGTCGTATGATTAGAAAAAAAATGTTAGTATTTGAAGTAGGGTCGTACAAAAACGTTTTATGACTCTCCAACATCGAATAAAATTCGTTTAGTGTGGTGCATCCATCGAACTAACATCTAGCAGCTTTTATTGGCGTGTTAATTCAAGTTAGATAAATATAAACGCGTGAGGTTAACCTGATATAAACATCATGCAAACTTTCGTGTTATCTTCTTTTTTTTTATTTCTTATACTTTCTTTCTCGAAAGAAGAGGCTGAAATTAGTAAAGTTACGATTTGTATCTTCGTAACTTTAAAATAGCTGAAACAGAAGTAGCATGAGAAGTAGCATAAGAAGTAGTAGCAAGAAAGCTTCTTTTCTGTTTACAGTTTTTGTTTATTTTTCTACTATAGAGTAGAGAGAAAAGAGGTCGTTAAATTTTGTCTTTCGTTCTCTTTACTCTCTTCGAAGAAAGGCAGTCTAAATGATCCTACTCAAAACGGGTTGCATACTATCTGGGGTAGTATTTTAATAAAAGTTTTTCTATGCGCGTTAAACGGCTCTTTATATAATTATTTGTATTTATTTAAAAGATTTATTAAACGAAAAACTTTTAGTAAATATTACTATTTTACTCGTAAATATTTTGTTTTTGTTTCTAAATATTCTAAGTATCGTAAAACAAAATTGAAATATTTAACATCGAACCCCAATGATCTTTTAAAATAATTATTTAGAAGAAAATAAACCAAAATTTGAAATTAAATTCAATGAGTAATCTTAATTACTTATAACTAAAAAAAATAGGATCCATATTTTAATCTCATGTAGATATCATGCACACACAAAAATATATAATACATTCGTGAAATAGAAAAATCGATTGGTTGAGATCCACTGTATTATTTAACCGTAATAAATCACCGATATATATATTTATATAGGTGCATATATTTAAAATATATGAATATATATATATGCGCATAAATCGTTCGACATTGCTTAATGGAGAATTTTTCAACTCGGTTGTAACCGATTTAAGACGTGTTTGCGATAACAATGAGGAATGAAGTAAAAATAAATAAAAATAAAAAAGAAAGAAGAAAAATGGCACACGTCCGATCGTAGGTAAGGCGTTCATTCGATCGCATATAACAGTACGAGAATGTATACACGTTACATACTTCTATGTTGATATCAGCTCCAATTCCAATTAAGGCTACAATGATACTTTAAGTATTCTGCTACGTGCTTCCTAGCGACGCATAAGAATACCAATCGGTTCTCCCAACGTTACCACAACGATCGTTGAAACCGTGGAAATGAAATCGCTTAGGTTGATCTATGTTACTATTTTTCACATATTTGTTATAGTTTTATAAGCGACCCCCTTCAAAACAAATGTATATTTTAATTTTATTTATTAGAATCTATATTATAGAATATAAAAAGTTGTGTAAATCACGTTTAAAAAAAAAAAAAAAACTCTATCAAATTTATCCGAAAGATATAATTTATTATAATAAAAATAAATAAATAAAGTATAATTGTTTATGCGTGTTAATAGGCTTAAAATATAATAAATATAATATCGTAGAAACTTTAATCTCCCGGCAATGCATTATCAAAGTGCAGACCGAAGTTATCAGAATATAACGGCGCACTGTCACTACTCACAACGTTTCCTGTAAAACTATGTATAAGTCACGTGCGAGGAAAAATATACGAGCTGAATTTCCGTTAATGCACATATGAAAAATATTATTACCCTATGCAGGTAGTAGTACCTGGGACGTCTTATCTTTTACAATCTATGATAATAATAATAATAATGCATGAACTGATTCAAACTAATGTTAATAATTATTCTTATAAACGAGATATTGGAATATAGATGCATATATACACTCTACCAATCAATATACATTCATTGGCAATCATTTGTTAAAGTTCATAAAAATTAAATTTACAAATAAATTTTCACAAATGATCCATCGTTATTATAAGAAATATTAACAAGTTGAATTATGAAATAAAAAAAGATACAAATATTCTATGTATTATAATAAAAAGAACCATTTTTGTTATCTTGAATTTTATCATCGTTAAAATTGATTAGGAAAAGAAAGATATCGCTGGGGAGTCACGTGATATGAAGCATCAAACTGAAAAAACATAAATTTATAAAAAGTTCGCTTATAATTCGTGACAATCTAATCGTAGAAATCGATTTTTAAAAAATATATTATTCCAGCCTCATAATATGGAATAACAAAATGTAGAAATATAAATTAAAACGTTAGATTGTCATTTGCGATAATCCGATCGTAAAAATTATTTCTTATTTAAGTTTATTATTCAAAAATCACTCGATATGGGGCATACAAATCTAGTAGACATAATTATTGATTATTCCATCTATCTACTAAATTGTTTACACACACAAAAATGTATGATTTAAAAGTCAGGTGATATGAGATATAAAAACAAAAAATGGACTGAACATAAATGGGGGAAAAAAAGTGTTCAACTACCTGTGGAGACGAATTTTTCTGCAGAAGATCATATTTGGCAAGTACTGCCGGATTCAAACGACGTCTTGACGCTGTCGTAGTCGACATTTTAACGATCCAATAAAAAAGTCTAGCACTGTTTTAGTTCGAAGTAGAAAAACACGTGACACGTTGTATGCACTAAGAAAAAACCAACTATGCCCAGTTGCAACTTAAGCTACGATATTGTTAATTTCACTTAAAAATACACTACCGTTACCGTTTGTGTATAAATCGAAAACACGTAATTAAATACGATTATTGTTTCTTTTTTTTTTTTTTTATTTGATCACACTTGTTTATCCTTGAAAAAATATTAGTCCGATCGCAAAATTCCTTTTCTATTTAAATAAAAAATGCATACACATGCACACAGATAAACAAACACTGTATTTTAGTTGGTTTAGAAAAACGTTCCTCTATTTTCTTTAATTATTTAATTTTATTTATTGATATGAACGAATACAAAACAAAATGACCGACATTTTGATTTGATAAGCTTTCAAAATTTGATGTCCTATATTTATATAAATAAATGTATGTGCGTAAAAAAAAATAGATGTCACTTGTAAGAAATATGATTAGAATTGAAAAAATATATCAAACGTGGTTGTTTCCAGTATACGATGACTAATCGCGGTGATATAAATATACGTATATGTATGTAAATATCGTTTATCCAATCAACTTTAGTCCGTGTAATGAGCGATTATACTAAACCACATCCATGCGTGTTAAATGTTTATCGAATGTTTCTTTTTTTCGATGATAAAAAAAACAAAAATTTTAAAAACATTTCTAACAATTAATATTATTTCTACAATAAAAGAACTTATTATCAAATTTTTCAACGATTAATTTTAAACGATAGAGAAATATTTTCTTAACTCTTTGCGATTATTATATTTCATAAAAAATTTAACCAAAGAAAAACCACAAAAATTTAATCATAAAAGTAAATAAAAAAAAATTAAACTACAAGTTGTCACACACACCTATTTTATAAGACACTATTTTAATGAACAATAAGGAAAGATTAAAGTACTTTAGATCAAATAATGAAATTGGAAATTAACAAATTTTCAATATAAAATACAAACTTCGTATCCTTGGGAAAAGACTGATGAATGATTTTCTTTTTTTTTTTTTACAGATATAAAGAAGAAAAAAGAACAAACTGTCAAGATGGCAAAGAATAAACCGGGAGTTTTTGACGTGTAGAATGAAACAACGATCGGAATGCGACTAGCCTTATCAGAAACTTACCGCTGCCGTTGTGCCCGAGTTGTCCATGACGTTAGTGACGTAGCCAAGGTCATTGTAACCATCATAACCGTTGTAGTCGTCGTAGTCATAGTAGTTATAGATGTCATAGTCATTATTGTCATCGTTATCAGCAACATGGGGTGTCATGTGATTGGCCAGCATCCGCATCATTGGTACCGGAAACAAGTGCAGAGTACGAGTGGGAAGAAGGGATCGATGATAAGGTGAACAAATGATAAGGATGATAAGGAATGGATCAAACGAGGAATACAAAATATTGCGATTGTTAGTTTTTACATTTTTGCTAAAAATAATAAATTGAATTAATCAAAAATACAATCAAATTTAGCATGCAGTAATTAGATATTTGTGCCAATAATTATAACAGTTGACTGATTGTGAATTAAAAAATTTGTTAAAATTGATTTTATGATTTATTTTATAATATAAATAATAATGATATATTTTATTGTGTTAATATTTTCTAATCATTTTCTAGTCTCAGTACTTTTAAATAAAAATATCTATACTTTGTGTCCCAATGAATGAATTTTATTTATTTTCATGTTTTATTTGATTTGATTTTGGTTTTTTCTTCCTGTTATATATAACAGAATAAGCTTGTATGTATTTCAACACGATGATGTAATGTAAATATTTTATCCACAAAAACACGTTTTATTTCCTATTGCCTACGAGTAGTTGAAATAGAACAGCACACGATGGAAACGTCAACGGTTTATCTATTTGGCGCATACATATTTGAATATACATAATTAGAAAATTTTCTAGTGCACTTATGTACGAGTTAGTTACATATTATATTTATAATTGGTATAGTTTATAAATATTCAACCATCCTAATTCTTAAGTCTGTGAGCAAACAAATTAGTATTAATAAAATAAAAAAAAAATTAATAAAATATTTCCCTACTTTAATTTTTTGTATTAAATATTATTTACTCAATAATAATATTAAGCAAAATTAGTCGAATTTAATTTTCTGACAATAAAAAAATAAAATTATATATTCGAATTATTAATTTAAATAATAATAAGATTAAAAGATATTACGATAGAAAAATAATATTTAATTAAAATGATTTAAAAGTCAGATATAAGGGGAAAAACTTTTACCTAATTAAAATGATCTAATTGTTTTAGTAAAATAATATTCTATTATTTCTCCGATCAAACTTATCTTTCTATTTAATAAACATAAGATTATTATGAAAGGTCGTATTTGAAATATCAAACAGATAATTCCCTCTCCACGTACTTTTCTCGTCTTGTTAAATCTCGCCACTTTAAACGTTAGTCCTGAGTTAAATTGATATAGCTATCGTCGAGAGATTCAACGAATGAATAGAATCTTCTTGGACCACTTAAGGATCTCCAATAGAATGGAATTTTCTGACTAAAGTTTCTTTACAATAGCTTCTTCTCTTTGTACACAGACTATATAATATAAATGTATATTCAAAGTTTTTTTTTTACACACGTATGAGTTAAATAAAATTCTAATTTATTTCTCTATTTAAAGAGTTAACAAAAAAATCGATTAAAAGTAATAATGATATTGTTGAAATTGGCAAAGTTTCACATCAACTTATCTCATATTCATACTTAAGAAGTTTACTAAACTATAATGTTCTAATTATTATTTTATTTTCCTTGGAAATGTACCAAAATTATTATGCAAAGAAGACTTTGAAGTTTTAGAAATTGATTTTGTTTAACAGTAAGTTGTTTGAAAATTAAGTGATAGTTCGATGTACTTTGATTAATTTTATGTTTTATAATGTAAATAATATATACATAGTCAATTATCAATAATTATTAATGCTGTAACTTTAAATAAATATTATTCACTTAGATAAACATATAAACACAATAAAAATTATATAGTAAAGAAAAAAGTAATAGTCCTCATTAACAATCTTTTATTTTCAAATAATAATAATTATTATTATGATAATTCTTTAGTAATTTCATCAGTTTTGTACCTTATTATTAGAATAAAATTAAATATGGTCGAGAAAAATTCGCACCAGCACGTTTCCTAACACCATTTGATATTCTATAGCAACTCTTTATACATATGTACATACATTCATTTACTAGAAGAAATTATAGAAGAAAGACGTTGAATGCACAGGTCAGTGATGTTTTCTACTAATTTAAACGGTGCGGAAGAAGTATTTTAGATAATACGGCTTATGCATTACCGTGACTAATTCCACTTTTCAACATTTTTTTCCTATTTCTTTTTTCTTCTTTTTTCTTTTTACGTAATAAAAATGCATGACTAATGAGAGATCTATGAGATAACCTGTTTTTCTTTTCTTTTCTCTTATCTTCTTTCTTTTTATTTTTCATTTCTAAGCAAAAAATAAACTAATTTTATAATAATTAATTAATAATAATAAATAGAAAATACTCTCGAAAACAAAGTTTCATTGAAATAGGTGAAATGTTACATTAGAGAGAGAGAGATGATTTAATAAAATAATTTTATAATTATTTATTCATTTAAATAATTCCGAAATATAAAATGGAATTTAATCGAGAACAAAATACCTGTATTCTTTCCTAGTTCGATCAAGATAATCGTGCTGTTTCTCGTTACGATGTGAGAAGCATGTAAAATAAAACTAGTAACTTCTACGACGACCCGTGTAGAATAATAGTATAGTGTTACATGGCTAAAGGCAACGAGCCACTTTACGGAATACAATGGTATGACCATAAGGCGTAGAAATTGTTGAATGGGGCCATTATAAATTTTTATCGGAAGGGATAGGGAATTTATTGCATATACGATCAAATATTATCATTTCTTATTTATACTTAGTGGGTGGGTTGAAAACTTTTGACCCTAACACAGAAATAATTCTCTCTCTTATATATATTCAAATTCATTTTTTATTATAAAAATAAATAAAAGTTTTTTTTTTAATGGGGCGCCACTCTCGTATAGATATTTATTTTCCAAATTTGAGCACAAATCTACGAACCGAATATAAAAAATAAAATAAAATGGAATAACAAATGAATAATAATAATTATATAACATATATTTTTTATATTAAATAAATTCATGAAATAAAAGGGCAAAATACAAATGATAAACAAAATGGAATTGGAATAAATTTAAATAAAATTGAAATTTATGAGTAAATTATGATGCTGCGTATTGGTGATATGAAAAATAGAATTGTGTAACATAAAATTAAGTTTTTAATGTTTTACAAAAAAAAATAAACAAGAAAAAAATAATCGATTACTATAATTGTTATCAAAGTTAAAATTTCAATTATCAAGCTCGATAAGTTATTTGTGTCAAATCGTAATGAAATGAAACAAAAATATGTATAATAAAAATTCACAAATTTTAACCTTTAGATACAAACATTGGTTGGAATTCAAACAATTTTGATTTTACATGAGAGTTACATATACATGTAGTAGGTATAGATATAACATCATACATACATCATACATACAGCATACATACACAGATACATGCATGGGTAATTATAGAATTAGTGCATTGGTGCGACTTCTGAGACGAACGAAGCTCTTGGTTATTTAGAGGTTAGGTCGAACGCCGTATCGACCGGGAATGCGGAGCGCTGCGTATCGATGAAGAAAGAAAAAAAAAAAAAGGAAAAATAAAAGAAATAAAAAGACAAAAAAAGCCAATTGCCGAGTTTCAAAATGGTTGACGATGTCTCGGAACGTAAATACAAGGTGAATGAACAAACAAAAAATGAAATACAAATAAAACATTACGTTAGATTACGACATTGCGTTGATTCACGTGTATACCGGCACAAAATATCAGTGCACTTGTACATCTTCATATAAAACACTATACGTACGTGAATAAATAATAATATCGATGATAGTTCATTCAACACAGAACACAACACAACAATAACAATAACAGTAACAACACAATATAATATGACCAATCATTGGATTTCGAATTTGTTTCTTTTTTCGTACATATCGAAGTTTTTTAATTGGTTAATTGAATTAATACTCACCACTTCTCTGCATTTTTCCCTGAAGGACAGGAGTTTAACGTTGTTCTTTAATCATAACTTAAAACGGGTGTGTCACATGAAAAAGTAAACGTATATTTAATTCCTTTTCACTCTATCTATCTCTCTCCACACACACTACGCAGAAAGTTTCTCTTATTTTTTCTTTTTCTTTTTCGTTGTCCCCACTTTTTTTATCTTCCTCTGTCTCTCTCTCTCTTTCTGCGGCGAAAACACGCGCAAGATGGCGATGATCACGAACAACGTTAACGAATAACAAAGATTGTAATCTGTTAGATTAACTTATTGTTAATGTTTAACACGAAAAACTAATCGAACAAGGATATATTCACATATTTCGGGTAAGTTTTGAAATACTATTCAAGATTGGAGAAAAATGAATGGTAAGAAGACCTGTGCGCGTGCAATGTGTGTACTAAACGAACGAACAAGCTACGAGAATCCAAGCAATACGATTGGGCCGAATATTATATGAGGAGTACCGTTCACACTAGTTTACCAAAGGCGCGAGATGTTCCTTTTCAAGAGAACTCTCACTATTTCTTTCTCTTTCTCTCAAACATATATATTTCTCTTTCTCACTACCAATCACTGTTCGGTATTCCTTCTTAAGGATCCACTGCGCATGCTCGGATCGACGCCATCTTGTAAACTGCTACCATAGTAACTGAGGAGACAGTAAACAAACAAAATTTGCTAAATATACACGAAAGTCAGTTGAAAAGTTCTGAGCTTATCCTTTTTTAAAAATTGTCAGATTATGTCGAAAGATAAAAGTTAATGTGACTGAAAATAAATTGTTTTGAAATTAGGCTCAGAACTTTCTAATCTATTCACATACAATACCATAATTTTGGTATTTTCTTATATTTATAATGCTTTTGCATTCCAAACTTTTGACAAATAATATATCTAATATATCTGCATAATATTATCAATTTCATGAGTTTTTTCTCTTTTTTTAATAACGATTAATCAAAGTAATTAATATTTTTTATTTTGTTGTATATATAATTTTATCTACAATAATTATTTTTAATTCACAACACGCGAGGGATATGTTATAAAAACAACATTCAATAATTTGGCATAAAAATGTTTTAATCATTCACTTGTTCAAGTTCATGTAACATTTATTTATACGATATTATTATTACACAACATCCTTAAAGACACTTTCATTAGTTAAAATAATATAGCATTATCTATTGCACGAACAAAACTGCGCATAAGTATTGCTACATGGCAGTTTGTTTTTTATTTATTATTGTTGTCCTATCACATTAAGAAGAAGACAAAATTGAACATTTTGTAATCGTATTTATATGTGTTCTAGCTTGTATTAGGGAAGAAATCATTCGTCTAAGTTGATATGTATTTTATTCCCTGCGAATAACATTAATTACTGATAAATTAGAATACAATTCTTTCGATATTATTAATAATATTAAAAATGTCTTTGTTCACACATTTCTTCATTTTAATGTGTTTTTGTAAATAAGATTCTCATATAAAATAGAAGAATTTTTTTCTTTTTTTAATAGATATGACCTTTCTTGTTAATTATGTTATATATTAATATTATTATTAAATGGAATAATGGTAAATAAATCTACGAGTGATATATACGTTTATATATAAATAGTTAGTTATCAAATAAAATTAGTAAAATATAAGACTGATATAAGATAGTGTGACATAATGAATTTCTTACTATGAAAAGCTTGTACCATAAAACTTAATCAAAGTTAATATAACTCTTCTTTTATATAATAAATAAATGAAAAGTAATAAGAATGATATAATAAATATACAACTGTTTAAATATTTAAATATGTCTCACTATTCTGATGATGATGATATCGATGATGTTATTGTGCAAATCATTTGTTGCTATATTATCTCTTTCTTAAGTCTATATGAATTTTTTATATGAACTATTTTCATACTATTGTCACGATAAAATTGTAAGTACGATGAACACCACATTATTTTCAAGAAAAAGAGAAGGAGAGAGAGAGCAGTTAATACTTAATGAGGAAGAAAATTAGTTAAGACGCTGTAAAATCAAAAAGTGGCATTTCAAGTGGCGTTAATGGTGGCAAGGGTGGTAGATTTAGTGAATGTGTATCTCCTGGCCTGATTTCATCATTAGGACTTACAGATACAGTGCGCAAACGTTCTTTTAATTGTGTTACTTCTTTTTCTTTAATTTCTAGTTGAGCTACCAAGGTTTCAACAAGGCTACGTAAATGAGAATTAACAGTTTTTAATTCTTCTATTACCGTGGTGGTATCTTTAGGGTATTTCGATGAATTACTATTTTCTGTTTCTGGTACTAAAATTAAGCTTATCAGACTATCCTGTTCTTGGATAGTTTTAAATATAGCTTGACGCAATGAACTATCATTTTTATCCGATGTAGATTCTGCGGAATTTCCTCTTTCGTTTTGTTTAGATATTTGTTTAGAATTTCTTTTTCGAATTTCTAAATCAATCTTATATTCTTCGTATTGTGCATGCTTCATCCTGAGACATGAGAAGAAAAAAAAATGAAAAATGGAGATCGCAATTTCATATCCTTTTTTCTCTTTTTCTCAGCATTTATAAATATCGAGAAAGATTATAATAGAAATAATTTATTTACCTAACAATAGCTGCTTGTCTTTTGTGATAATCTCGTTGAAGTGCAAGAGATTCCAAAGTTACAGCTGTATGCATAGATCCGGAGAAAGGTATATAACTTTGACTATTTACAATTGAAGGTTCAGATTTATTAAGGCTGGATTGAAGTTTTATAAATGCCTTTGTTAGAAGATTAGCAACAGCTTCGTGACACTCTGCTGCTTCCTCGAAACGTCCTTCTCTTAGATATGCATCGGCCCTCCTTTGCCGTACGTGTGCCTTTAAAATTAAAATAATAAAAGTTCATAGGAGAATGTCAAGCAAAACAAGAGAGAAAAGAAAAAAGAAAAACCTTAATATATTAAAAACTTTATCTACGAGTTTATAGCTTTAAAAATTTACTTCTAAGATGGAAGTATTTAGTTGTGTAATATTTGTATAATTTTGACTCATTAAGTTTTAAAATAAAATACCATATCTTGGAAAAACCATCAATTGGACCCATTAACAATAACATTATCAAGTTTTTTAGAATACGAATAACAGGCATAAATCAAAATATTGTCAATTTTGTGTTTGCATATAAAGAATAAATCTTAAATCGTTATTTTGAACAAAAACGAGCAATATTATTTTCCATACGACATACAAATAAAACAAAGAGCAGTATTAAAATCATTATACAATCAAAGGGTATAAAGAAGTTTCACAAATTTAATTCTACATAAAACATTTTTTAAAATAATCCACTTTTATTTACTTGTATCAAAATTTAAAGATTCAAATGGATGGTAATATATGAACTTAATAATTAACACTAAAAATCGCTTATGTATTTATAGGTTTAAATTGTTCAATTTGATTGAATTCCTTTGTATGTAATAAGTAAGAATATGGTACAATATTGAACTAATAGTCATGGTTATTCTGATATATTAAAGAGTGTGAATAGACCTTCAGATAATTTTCAATTAGATATGAATATATATATATATTTAATGATATTATTTCTAAGGTTATCTCTTCAGCTTACATTGCTTTATTTTAAAACATTACAGTTCTTATCGTCTTTAATGAATTTTTATCTACATATATATATATATATATATATATTTTAACGATAATAATATAGAAAGTAATACGAAGAATATAAGAATTTAATTTCTTGTTGATATTTCTATTGTTTTAAATTGTAATTTAAATTATTTTTCTAAGTTTATGTTATATAATTAAACAAAATTACAATTAATAAAAATAAATTATTGCAAAAGTAAGTAAAAGTATTGGTAACGATAGAAAATTTTAAATGACATTCTAACACACAATGTAATTACGAAGAATAATTATCTTGAAGGAAAATATATTTGTCGGTCACTGTTATCTCTTAAGTAGCAATCCTCCAAATTTCTTTCTAATTATAAACAAAATATCAATGCATTATATTCAATTGACAGTAATTGTTCTTAATTAACATTTGTCGCTTATATCAAATCTTTTGTTTCACTTTGCTATCGTCAATTGGGAGATTGATTAGACTTTCTAACGATAGATAATAAGAATTAGGTTGGTGATGTACATATCTTCTTTTAATTTGAAATGCATCATATTGAAAAAAGTTAAGAAAAGAAAAGAAATGAATTGAAAAAGAAATACATTCAAAAGAAAATAAAAGGAGAGAAGCCAAAATTTACTAAAATAAAAAAAGGATTATTTATGAACTTAGAAACACATTTAAATAATACATTCAATTAGCCCTACTAAATAAAACACAAGTAATAAACAAATGTGATAAATAAATATAGTAAATAAACGTAGCAGATAAATTAAAAAAATCAAAAATAAGAAAAAATAGAAGGAAAGAAAAAATGTCATTAAAAATTATTTACAAATAAGTATAAAAATGTAATGACAAAGATAGAGATAAGTAAAAAAAAGTAATATCTGAATGATTTCTCCGTGTGCAATAGGAGGAGACGTAAATCGAAAACGAAGAAAACATATATTCCAATAATAAAGCGTCTGATGGTACTCACCAGGTTCAAGGCAGAAGCCTCCATGACTGATCAGCTGATCGAACGATAGGAAGAAAACAGAAAAAAACACATGCTGGTTTATCAACCGCAGGAGGTTTTCCTAAAAGCTTATTCTAGTTATATCAATTGAGCATAATTCTAGCAAGGTTTGTTTCGATATAGTTACTCGAAATCGTCGCGAGATGGTGATAGTTGTACACTTTAAATGAATAGGGATAATTGACGCGTATCACATTCTTGTTATTGTCTATAGTTTTTACTTAATTTCTTTGTTAATTATGCAATGCATTTTAATCCTTTTATATCTGAATTATTTTCAATCGCGTCGAGATTAATTATGATACGTTTTATATTTAAATAATCTTCATTAGTTTTTTAATACTTATCTAATTGCATTTATATAAATTCGATTTGAAAAAATTATTAACCACGTTGTAACTTAATACATAATTTTATATTAATTTAATACGAAGAAACTATTTGCATAAGCGATTATTTATTATTTTTTTTTTTCATTTTTTATTGGATTTATTTCCTCGTATTAGGCTAATTACTTCGATCGCGTGTCATCTGCTCGTTAAGGGATATACATACATGTATATGTGGTATGTATGTATTTATGAAATTCTTAGTTTTTTTTATTTTTTTAGTTTTAATAAATATTTTGTATATGAACTTGGCTTTTTAAAAATAAATTTGTAATTAAAATAATAATATAGATTTACAAAAGCGTACACACAAACACACATACGTATACGCAACAAATATTTTGATTACATTAATATTATACTAATAGCACAGTATAATAATAATGCATTATATTGCAATAGTAAATATCTTTCTTTTTTTCTTTTATACTATACTTTCCAATACTATTAGTATAAGATATTAATATTATTATATATTATTAGTATAGTATATATATACTAATACTAAAATATATATAATAAAAATAAAAAAAAGTATCAGAATAATAAGAAAATATAATATTAATTAATATATAGAAACTGTATATATATATAATGTATGTGTTGTGTAAAGTACGAGTAAATAAATATAAGTAAAGTATAGATTCAATCAAGTTATTACAGAGCCGATTACAGTCACATATATTATCATGATTCACACTTCGATGTTACTACGTTGTAAGGCAACTTTACGGTCGTTGGGACTTCTGCCTTGCACATAAAAGGCGAGAAGAAATTAAGCGCGGACGATCATAATGACTAAGTCCAATGGAAATATTATAATGAAGAGGAATTATTACAAGTATTGTAATAT